GTCAAAACAAATGTGTTTGTTTTCTAAGTAAAAAGTCGCATATAAAAAGAAATCACGTTATAATTAGGGTTAGGGTTGGAACTAATGATGGGCACCACGTGTGATTCGCATGTAATTCCGTGCGGGATATATTGTATTTAACTGCCTAATATGATAGTATTGGAGCAGCATTTTGTCTTGAATCAATTACAGGATATTTTTAGTTGTATGATGTATTGTTGAAATTATTAATTTATTGTTTAATCTATTGAGTATTTTTTTCTTGTAATTTATTGATTTGTTATTGATTGACTTTCATATGATTTTTAGTAACGTAGTGATATAGTAATTTCGATTAGTAATCGTTAGTAGTATTTAGGGGAACAGGTTTTTTGCCAGAAAGAGTAGTTTCTGTTTTTTCTGCTAACCTGACTTTGTCTGGTTTTTTTATGCATATTTATCTATTGTTATTTTTTTACCTTTGCTGTTTTTTCAAATAATAAACGAAACTTAATTAACAAAGCATAACCAATTTTCAACACTGATCTGTTGTATAATTGCCATTTTCTGTATTTCTTTCTTTTTTTTTTTTTTGGTATTAAGGTGATCTCTTTGGTCTGGGGAACTTTTTATTAGAGTATAGACAGAGTTTTATATATAATTATAACGATGGTAGATCAAGCTACATATGCACCTTTTGAGTACCTATTTAAGTAGTCTGGCCAAAAGTTCTACACTATCTGCCATACCTGCACCCCAACTAGGGGGGTACCCATTTAAACCATCTGGTTCTAACTACCTCCATCAGCCCTCTAACCCTAATGGGTTTCTTCACTATTCATATGCTAGATTTTGGTATCACCCAATTTGGATTTTGCACCCTACTTTAGAACACTTAACTATCCTTGAGGTAAATCTAACAGAGTGGTACATGTCTCACACATGTATTCACCTGCATGTTCCAATAACTTCTTCCTAATTAGTACATATTGACCTGCCATTTCATATTAGTATCTCACGCCACCTTTTGGGGTGCTGCCTTTCTACAGACATTTCTCAAGCACTAACCTTTCTAACTAAGCATCTATTATATACTCCTTGCCCTTATTCGGTTCACAACAACCCCGATACCCACATTCAGATTGTCTTCTTACCTGGATTCTTTATCAGTTCATTCTTTACTTTTAGCTAGCAACCCAGAAGGGTTGGTCTGCCCAGGCTTTAGGTATTTAAAGGACGCCCTTCTCTTGGTCTATACTTTCAGAGCGTATATTCTTTTCCTCTGGTGCAACAACTCAGCGGTTTGGCTAGTGTGTCCTCTGCCATAAGACCTGGTTGCTCGGTTCTCCGATCTTGGGCCCTGGTTCGAATTCAGCCCTCCTGTAATACTGTTGAAGATCATTGCTACCTCCAGATTTGGGTCTTCCCAAATGGGTTTTCAGTTATACCAGTTCCTCAGGTTTATTGCGCCAAAGCTTTCATTACTAGATGGTGTAACTGAAGTTACAGATTAGTTCTAGATCTAACTGATAAGCATAGCCATTAACCGAATACAAGGAAAACAGGTCTATTTTTCAAATATCGTCACCAGTGGGATTTGAACTCTAGACCTGCAACTTGGAGAGAGTAATGACTAGACTACTACACTAAATCACCACACCTCTGTTTCCTGTATTTCTGTGTTTTCCTTTTCTAAATAAATATAAAAAAAAAAAAAGTAAATAAAATTATAGTAATTAATAGTGTAAAATATCAACTAGTAATAAGAAATTAGAACTAGTCATTGTGTTAAGTGACACTGAGTTGGCTTAAACAAGCTTGGAAACAAGCCTTCAACGGTTATCGATGGAAACATTGAGATTTATTTGCCAAGGTATGGGCCTTTCAAAACTGGGGCAGAAGCAAGAAATCACCTCCAGGTTAGTGAAGGAATGTAAGACCCAGGTGGGTTTGAAAAATCTTGTAAATGAGTCTGGTACAACTGAAAAAAGAAAGATAGCACAACTCTAGTGTATAAAGAGTGACATGTCAATGGATGATTTTGAAGCTCTACGTTGAGTAGGAGACAAGAGTTAGCAGCTAGCTGCTGTGGATAGTGTAACAGAAGCTTATGATAAACTTGTGGCTTCTGGGCAAAGATTTTTGCCTAGTTATGCTTGGGAAAGAAACTACAAGGCCAAGCTGGCCCTACCTTCATTAAATGACATTGAGCATGGAGGTCTCTGGATAAAGTGTGAGTTGTCGAAGCCTCGTAACCAATGGGAGTACAATGAGTGGTGCAGAGCAGAGGCGTTGGTAGATAAAGCCTTGGTGTCAGGAAATATGAAGTATGTACATTTAGCTAGGCAGGTGATTTTGAAAAGAGCCTATGTTGTTAGGGTAGCTAATGAAGATGCTTGGGATATAGTATCAAAAATGACAGTTGGTGAAATCTTGGATCCAATGTCGGAACTCTTGGGGAATAAGCAGAAAAGTGCCAGGTTGGCCACACAGGCTTTGTAAGGCCTAAAAAAGCTAAGTCGATGCCATATTCACATTACAATCAGCCCCAGACCCAGGTTCCATTTTTTCAAAGAAGTAGCATTTTCTCGGTACAAGTTTTGCATTTTTAGCCTTATGTACAACAGACAGGGCTATAACAGCATTTCTTGGGGCAACAATTAGGACTACAGGGCCAGTTTGGAGCTTTTCTGGCTCAGGCTTTCCAACTGGTAGCTCAAGTTGGACAACCTGTTTTACAGCATTTATAACAATTCAGACCTGGAGTGGGCATATTATCTCTGATGCAGTATCAGGAGTATAGTCCAATAGCACCGTGGTCGAGAAAATTTGATAAAAGTAAGAGCTTTAAAGAGAAAGATATGGTTTGTTATATTTGTAAAAGAAAGAGCCATTTCACAATTAAGTGTAGCTCGAAGAAAAACTTTAGTTTGCTCTTTCATGAGGATGGGGCCTATCCTGGAGGGAGTTGACTACACTCAGGGGTTTCTGGAAAAAGGGATGATAGGTACGGAGATTCAGATGGTGGGGAAAATTCATAGTCAAGATGTAGTGGAGTACTGGAAAAAGGTTATAAAACTGTTACAACTGGTGCTTAAGTGGTTGAAGGAAGGGATTCCTTTGTTTTTAAGAAACCTGGTTCGTTTAACAAGGGAGCCAGACCCAAGGCCATATTAGTTTATACAGAAAGAGAAGATTTGGTTGGAGAAGGAATTGAAGCATCTAGAATTATCAGAAGCAATAGTAAAGGTTTCGGAGAGTTGTTTCTGCCCGGAAAATCTTCTAGAAGTAAGCCTGGTCTTTCTGGTTCCAAAACAAGGATCCAAGAAGTTTTAGTTGGTAATTAACTTGAGAAGGCTAAACAAAACTTTATCACCAAAAGTACTTTCACTTCAAGGGTCTAGGAGATTTGTTGTAGACAATTGGTTGGGGTTGGTAGTTGATATCGTTCAACCTAAAGGAAAGATATCATCATGTCCTAATGGATGTCAAAGCCCAGAGGCTTTTGGGGTTTATAGTAAAGAGAATTTGGTACCAATACAGGGCTCTACCCTTTGGGCTAAATAAGGCCCCATGGGTTTTTTTAAAAATAATGAGGGCCGTGATTGGCAAGTAGCAGGCCCAAAAAATCTTTTGTGGGTACTATTTGGATGATATGTGAGTAGTCTACCTATTGAAGGAGAAATTGTTAAGGATAAAGGAAGAAATTGTGTGAGTCGATTTGGAGGGTTGTGGTTGGACCAGAGCTGAAGAAAAAGAAAGTTGAAATCCAACACGGACATTAAAGTTCTGTGAAATAATTATAGATACAGTAAATGGTTGCATTGTAGTGCTAGAGGAAAAAATAACTTCAACAACAGCGAAGCTGGAAGCCTTGTTGAAGATACCAACGGTTGTAGCAAGGGACCTGGCTTTGGTGGTGGGCAAGATAATAAGTTTGTCTAGGGCTTTTCTTCTGGGCCAGGTAAGGTGCATAGAGTTTTACAAACTCATAGATACACAAAACCACTATACTTGGCAGTGGGACAACAAGGTATAGTTGTTAGCTCAGGCAACTGAGAACATTAGATAGTTGGTAGAAAATTTGAGAAGGTGGAATAGATGGCCAGCCTGGAAGCCAGCTGGGATAAATTCGGTCTATATGGACGCCTCGATAACTGGCTAATGTAGAATTTTTCATGAGTACAAGGCTTCGAACAGTTGGGCACACCCCTATACATTAAGGGTTATTGCGCAGTTAGAAACATTGGCAGTGCTAAGGACATTATAGTCATTCAAGGACCTGTTAAAAAGAACTTGGGTGATCCTGTTTATCAACAACAGGGTAGCTCTGAAAACAATTATAAAAAGAGGCCCAGAGGTGTAGCAAAAGGATATTTTGAGACAAATTTGGGAGGTATATGCAGAGAGCGACTTGGCAATTTTCGACATGCAGTGGGTACTATCCGAGCTGAACCTGGCAGATTTCTTAACAAGGGTGTTCGATCTGAAAGATTGAGTATTGAGTTTGGCGGTTGTGGGCCAGTTAGAGTTGGCTTGGGGAAAGTTCGAGATGGACAAGTTTATGGACCACTTGAATACAAAAACTTGAAGGTTCAATAGTCAGTTTTTTTGCCCCGGGTCAGAAGTGGTGGATTGCTTTACCCAGAATTGGGTGGAGACAAAAAATTATGTATGTTCTCCTTTCAGGCAAATTTACAGGGCACTTTGCTATGCAAAGGAATGTGGGGCTTGGATGGTGATTATAATACTGGTGTGGGTTTCAGCTCTGTGGTAGCCTTTAATTCTAAATTCGCCCAGAAGCAAAATCGATCTTCCTCCAATGAAGAATATTGTGATACTGGGTCCCTCAGGGAATTTGGAGCCTTGCAAAATGATCAGTGGCATATGAGGGCAGTATTGCTGGATTGGTCCAGGAGTTGCTTGGAAGAGCATAATATTTAATTGACAATTCAGTTAGTGAGACATATAAAAAATGGTTGGAGAAGGCACATGATGTTTTTGAAAATTTTGCGCTCTGTATGGGTTTTTCACCTTATTCTGCATCTAGGGAGCTTTTAGCAGCCTTCCTGGCATGGCTTGAGGCCTCAAGTAGAGTAGCAGAAATATTGATTTGCTTGGCAGCAGTGGCAAGAAAGTATAAGGTTAGAGACCTGGAGGGTCTGTTTAATAAGGGAAGAGTGCAAATAAGTTGTAGCTCAAGTTAAAAACAGACCTAGTTGGCCAAGAGACCCATTGCCAGTTACAGTAATTAGGTGTTATATAGAGTGTTCACTGCTAGGAATTAGTGTAGAATTTTGGGCATGGGATTTGGCTCTAATAGCATTGGGGTTAAGATTAATGTGAAGGCTAGCAGAGCTGTGTAATTTGAAAAGGTCAGATGTGCTGGAAAAAGATGAGAAGTTGTGGTTTAGGATTGTGAAGTCCAAAACAGATCAGTTGGGTAAGGGAAAGTTTATTCTGTTAGAAAAGACATAGAGTAAGCTTTGTCTAGTAAAATTGTTGAACATATATCTGAGGGTAAGGCCCAGTACTCCAGTAAAGGAGCTGTTGTTCTTGTCAAAAACAAGAGAGAAGCTGTCTGTGGCAGCTGTGTCAGCGATAGTTAAACGTTTTGCTGAGAATGCAGGTCTACAGAGGAGATATACTGTACACAGTCTAAGGATTGGAAACACAACGGCAGCCATGCAAGAAGGGATGACAATGGAGCAAATTCAATCAATTGGTGACTGGGCATCAGGGGCAGTACAATTGTATATAAGAGCTGTTAGTATAGCCAAAATAGGTGCATCTAGGCTAATGGGTTTCGACTAGTAAGAACAAAGCAACCATAAATAGTGATGCTCGACAAGACCCATTGTTTATTTTATTTTTTCTTTGTTTCACGCCTCGATAAGAGACAAATTTAGCTGCCCAATATGATAGTATTGGAGCAGCATTTTGTTTTGAGATATTTTTAGTTGTATGATATATTATTGAGATCATTGATTTATTGTTTGATCTATTGAGTATTTTTTTCTTTGTGATTTATTGATTTGTTATTGATTGACTTTCATATAATTTTTAGTGATGTAGTGATATAGTAATTTTGATTAGTAATCGTTAGTAGTATTTAGGGGAATGGTTTTTTTGTTGGAAAGAGTAGTTTCTGTTTTTTCTGTTAAACTGACTTTGTCTGGTTTTTTTGCCTCACCCTACCCAGCTCTCGTACATGGTGACTTGATAGTTTTTAAGTTATTGTGTTTTTAGTGTTAATGATGGCCTGTTAGATAACAGTCATAAAATTTTTGGTAGTGGCCTGTCGAGACGACAGTCACAGGAGGTTTTTCTTGAGTTTTTTTGTATTAAGACACCCTGCCAGGACAACAGACATGAAGAATTTTTCTATATTTGTTACATAAGGGTGGCCTGTCGGACAACAGTCACTTTTAGTTTAGAGTAGTCATAGAGGGCTCAGGGTTTTTTCCAGATAGAATTATCTGGTTTTTTTCACCCTGCCCTTACGATGAGCTAGTAGCTTTAAAAAGCTGTCAGTTTGTTAGTACTTTTAGTTTTTCTGATACTTTTGATCTCTGCACTGTTACACATATGCACGTGAGTAGAAGGAACAGATAACCCATTGTTGTATTTCATTTTTTCTTTGTTTCACTCCTTGATGAGAGACAAATAATTTGGGCAGTGTCATAAATCTGGCCAGATTCCAAAATATTTTAGGTAAAATTTAGTTTGTGGCTTAAGTTGATATTAGTGAGGTCGATATTAACGAGGGTCACCTGTAGTACTCTTTTTGTTTTATTATTTATTTGAGTCTTATCTAATATTTCTTATTTATTCTTTCATTTGTCTTTTTGTTTATTGTTATAGTCAGTTTCTGATTCATAATTTATCTTGTTATCATTATAGAATTATTTAATAAATCTGTATTGTCTAACCTCCACCTACTTAAAGCAGAGATGCTCATTGGAAGGTTCTAGAGACAATTACCGGAACTGGATATCCACTAGAAGAAAATGGAATGCTTCTAGAGTGCAGCAAGCCAGTTATTGGAAACTTCTAGCGAATTTTTTGACACTGAATGAAAGCTAATAGCTTCCAATGGCTAAATAAACTTACAAAACTAAAGATATCATGTGATTGTGTAATGAGTTTGTATCAAAATCATCTAAATTGGATCACATGATCACGAGATATCATGTTTCGGAACTACTGTTAAAATCAACAAAAACAGATTTAAAAAACAGGTTTTTTGCGAATATTTCAAGATTCCGTGATTGGGTTTTAGATATTTTGATATCATTAGATTGATCTCACTGGGCACTAAAATTCAACTATGGGATCTCGAGATATTTGTAAAAAACCTGTTTTTTAAATTTGTATAAATGTTTTTTCCGAAATGTGATATCTTGTGAGTGTGCGATTCAATTTGGATGATTTTATACCATTCGAATTGTCTCAATAAGATGAATATAATGATACCAAAATCATCAAAATTGGATCTTGAGATCCAGAAATATCTTTAATTTTATGTTAAAAGTATATTAGTATAAAATATTATTGGTTTATAAATATAGAAATCTTTCAATGAAAAAATCTTCCAGTCGGACTTGCTCACTAGAAGCACTGACTGGCTGAAATGATTTGGAAGTCTAGTGACCTTCCAGTCTTCCAATGGCAACACTGACTTAAAGTATACAACGCATATATATATATATTAATCGTCTATCATAAACTAATTTATCCGCATTGTTATTGTTAACCCTTATCGTAATTGTCCCTAATCTGGTTTAGCAAATACCTCATCCATATCTACGTTTTCCCTGTTTACTATCAGAGCTAATTTGGCCCCATAGTTCCTCGCTCTCCCAAACCGATAGTGTCAGCGGAGTTAAATCCAAATATTTGTCCATGTGTTCGATTTACCAATGGGGAAGCGATTTAAAAATTTAAAATTAACGTATAAACATTGGAAATACTCACATACACGAATATGTTATCTGTTGATCCCCAGAATACTAAATAGGTTACAATGTAAGGCAATGCAACATCAGAGGTCATTACACTGTTTAAGTGTATTATTTAACTGTAATGCAATACATCACATA